TGTTGGAATTAAATAATTTGATGTTCTTTCAAGTTCTGTGAATTCTAATCTTATCTTATTTTAATTCACTATGTAAACTGTTTTCTGCTTAATTTTTAAAATTAGTACAAAGTCTTATAATTCTCACATACGTCAGTACAAGATTCTTCTCGACTCTCTCTGGATGATGGCCCGGCAATGTGAGGGTCGCGGGTTCGAATCCCTCTCACACCAAACATGCTCGCCCTTTCAGCCGTGGGGGCGTTATAATGTGACGGTCAATCCCACTATTCGTTGGTAAAAAAGTAGCCCAAGAGTTGGCGGTGGGTGGTGATGACTAGCTGCCTTCCCTCTAGTCTTACACTGCTAAATTAGGGACGGCTAGCACAGATAGTCCTCGTGTAGCTTTGCGCGAAATTCAAAAACAAACAAACAAACTCTCTGGATGATTCATCAGAGTGAGTAGAGTGCTCGCTGTACCTCTTAGATTAGTTACTAGGGTTGTCGAAAAAAGTGCAAACTATGAATAAAATTTCGAATAAGTAAATAAAAAGATATTTTTCTACTTGTGAAAAATAAGTATTAGTAACTGGAAAGCACTACTCAAAACGAAAGCGGTAAAATTGATTATCCAATTATAAACAGGACTTCATTAGCACAGGCACACTTAATATCTGGCTGAATCACTTTTCGCTTTAGTAATAACGTGGATTCAACATGTTTTAAGCTCAAGAAGATGGCAAAATAAGTTTCGCTTGATTGTAGTCCATTCGTTGAGGAGAACAATGGGTAAATACTTCATAGATGATGGCGAAAAAGTACGGTTAACATTAAGTCTATGAACTTACAATGCAAAAATCTGGGTTATGATTCCCCTCACTGACCAGAATGCAGATAGATCATTGTGTAGCTTTGCACTAAGTAGCAGCAAATCTGATTGGATATAGTTATTATACTGAGCAAGGAAAACGACTGAAATCAATATCATACTTTTTGAGCCAATTTCGGACAATATGTACACATCCAATTATTGCAATATCGTCGTATTAAACCTTTAACGGTGATGATGGAAGTGCAGCATTGTAAAGTACACATAAAAGGGAACATTATTCATGAATACTCTGGGCAATACTAGCTCATTTAAAGGAATGAAACCGACTAAGCCTCTAACTTAAAAACTTCCCACACCATTACTCCACGTCTAGCAGCTTGCACTATCTAACCAGCATAATCAGGATTTCCTCCATAACCTTTCTCTACTGTATACAGAAAAGAAATAAAACGCAACTAGTTAAAGTACATCAGACACTGTCTACATCAATGAAGACATGTTTCCAGTTGAGATAAACAGTTTGAAGCTGATTATTGGCTGCTATTTGTCAGTTTTTAGTGCCCTTGGAGATCGTGAATATTGACAAATCTATCCAATCGTCTTTTTCCCCGGTCTACTACCAACAGATAGTAGCCACAGTTTATTCCAATTACAAACGTAATTGTTTTCCATTGTCACTACTATCAGACTCTGATGGAAGACGTTTCTGGAAGTCAGGTTAAAGAAAATGTCTACTAAATGGGCATCCACTGCTTCATAGCTATGAGCTTTCGATACATACACGACATTCCTGTATTTATAGGGATCAAACAAGTATTAATATGAGATAATTAGACTATCTTGCATAGACAGGTGCATGAAGTGTTCTACAAATAGGTTTTTACATAGACAGGTGCATGAAGTGTTCTACAAATAGGTTTTTACATAGACAGGTGCATGAAGTGTTCTACAAATAGGTTTTTACATAGACAGGTGCATGAAGTGTTCTACAAATAGGTTTTTACATAGACAGGTGCCTGAAGTGTTCTACAAATAGGTTTTTACATAGACAGGTGCATGAAGTGTTCTACAAATAGGTTTTTACATAGACAGGTGCATGAAGCGTTCTACAAATAGGTTTTTAATCGGGCCACGTGGTGAAGGTTTTGGAGTAACATACGGAACTGCATTTTCTAAATTTCTCAGGAAATCAATATTTTCAGTATCTAGGAGCGAAATCATTCTGTCCTTCCTGGTATTTGTTAATTAAACATATCATGGATCAAAATGGTGTTATTATGACATTTGAAACTTTCAAGTTCCCATAAAATAACTTGCTCTTTTATTATAGTACTTGAACCTTTCAAGTTCGCATGTTGTTGTATTAGCAAGTTTATATGACGGTGTTTATATTATGTTTAAATATTCTAAAAGTGAAAATGGATTTATAATGTGGTTTGCCTATTTAAACGTGCCCTTAATCATAGTGTTTTTGTTACGACGTTTTTTATGTTAAAACACGCTCCCAGCTGCGGTTTTTTTTTATCACGGGGCATATTAATTTAATAATGAAATGACATATGGAATTGTCTGTCGCAAAAGAAACTTTGTAACTTAATTTTATTGATATAGTAACGTCTACCTGAAATTCTCCGTACCTGGAATGTAATGTCTATGGGCCCGAAAATGGTGACGGAGTTTCAGAACCTCTGGGTTGGGGTTAATACTCTAAACTGTAGATTATTTCAACAGACAGACATATCTAAAAAGAAAAAAGTGCCCCCCCCCAGTGGCAC